CTTCGACTGTGGCTGTGTGCTACCTTCGTCCCTTTTCTCTCCTTTGCCTTTGTGGCTAGCTGGTGGTTACAAAACTCTCTTCACCATTTAAACAACCTGTGAGGCTAAGAAAACGGTGGAGCAACCGTTTGGAGGATTGGGGATTTGGGTTTTCTCTTGTGGTGTTCGATTGGAGGTATTCTGAGCCCGATTTCTTGGTGTAAAACGGTGGTTTAACCTCACAGATACTTTACATAATTAATTTTGATATCGACACGTGTGCTTAATTGTGTAGTTCGTGCTATGCCGACATATATTGTACACCAAAATTATGCACAATCAATCTACAAGATAATGAGAGCATTGTAACTACGGCTTCAAAAGAGTACCTGTTTAGACTGCTTGAAATCGATTGGAGTGAAATTTGTAAGCTAAGGTCAAATCTCCAGTGGTTTGCAATGTAGTCAAAGAAAAGCGGACAATTTTTTTAGCAGTCGGGACAATTTTTGTAGGCAAAACCTAGCTATCGACTAGATAGATAGAAATAAGGTTTATGGGGCGCGTAGGAAGGATTAATGTCTCTTCACTCATTTCTCTCGAGAGCCGTAAAATTAGTCACGTAGGGAGATCTAAGCATTGTCGAAAACTTTTAGGGGTACCCTTACATTATCAGAAAATTTTGACATTTTTCGTTAAATTATGAATAGTAGACAATTTTCAAGTTCAATTAATAAAGAAAATTTTCGCCTCAAAGTCAACTTTTACAAATTCGATAGTAGGGTTATGATTTTTTTTATAAAGTGCGTTCTCAGTTCAACAACTTATTCAAATTCAACTTTACTCCCGAATACGTAGTTTCTAGACTCATCATGGAGACATCGAACAGAAAGAATGAGAACTACATTTTATACTTCATTGAATTTGAATGACCAAACAGAAATCATGTAAAAATTGTATTTAAAGTAGTCAAATATAAAGCTACGGTGTTATTGATGGGACCCATACAAGCGGTGAAATATGTGATTTAATTCGATGCAAAGCGAAGAACCTTATCAAGATTTGACGTGCCATGAATTCTATTAAAAGAGAGGAACGATGTTTCTCTCACATTTGGTATAACGGGCTCTAATGAGAGGTTCTTAAATAAGAAGAAAATTCCGATCCCTAAANATCACTTATATCAACTCATTCACCCTAAATCGGCGAATAAGCAGAGTAGAAAACCCTGCTCTATGGATCTCGAAAAAAGAAAAGGAATTAACAAAATATTCAAAAAATAAAAATGTCAAAATTAGCATCTCGTCAATTTTTTTCCGCACTATAAAATTAATCTCAAATTCCAGGATAAAGAGAACGCCTGCCTCTACAGTTTCAACCACCAAGCCTGCATCTTCTGCGTGAATCCCACCATCTCAAACCTTAGCTGCAAAAACATTCAAACTTGTAACAATGGTGTACACATCAATTGTTCAATCCTCGATTTCAATTCTCTCTCCTTCGCCCAGATTCTATTCACACACTAAAATCCCATATCGAATACCTCAAATCCTCCCATCTTCGCCATTAATCCCTGTTCTCAAGCTTCAAGTTGCTCCCACCAGAGGATTATGTACTGTATGCTGTTATAAGAACAATTCTAGTCAAGAATCTGATAAAAAGGTAAGCTTTATGCTTTTATCCATTAGAAACTACGCATTCCACCCCCCCCCCCCCCCCCCCCCCCCCCCCCCCCCCCCCCCCCCCCCCGCCNCCATCCCGCCCCCGCCCCCCCTCGCCCGGGGAATTTTTTTCCCTTTTTTTATATTTGCTACCCCGTGCAGATAAAAGTTTTAGCTTTATGTTGATCTTTATCCAGTTGTAAAGGAAAAAAAAAATTCAATAGGAGGAAAAAGAATTATTGGTAAGAATATGGGGACTGTTGAAAAAACTCATTTTTTTGCTGGAATTATTAGCATTCTTAAATGGTTTTTACGTCCATTCAAAAAGAAAGAAATGAATTTCTAAAGGAAGGCTGGAAATATCTGATCAAAGGGTTCTTGATTAGGCGTTTCTGTTATTTTGAAATATAATTAGCTCTAATAGGGTTAAGAACTGATTTAGATAACTGAAATGGTGTTTCTACAGGAGGCCGGACTGAATTGGCGAATATTGAAACGATGGGATGTGCCTTGGAATTGGCAAACAATTTCTTTGACATCACTTGCATGCGGATTGAGGTGCATTTCCATCACTAGTTGGACTCAATATTTGATTCTGTATAAAAAATAGAATCCATTTAATTTATGATGCAAGATATGATTAGAGCTGTAGGTTCTTTCTTTTCTTGTAATTTAAACAGAATATTCTCAGTTACCAATTTCGAATGAATGGAGTGTTATTATAGTTGTTGACTGCTTTCTTAAGATTAGGAACAGAGTATTGACATCAATGAAAACTGATCATTTCCCAGGCAGTTTTGTTTTGACAGGACTGATTGAGGCAGCAGCAATACCATACACGGGACTTAAAATTGAAGAATTAAGTTTGGATGAAAAAGCAGAAATTCTATTTGTGGATCAATCGTATGCGAAGTTCTCAAACTTCAACTTCAGTTTCTTTCTTTTCTTTAATAAGTTCTTATTTCGATTTGCACTCCTGCATCTAACTTTATTTACTCTATTGTCTTGTAGCATTGCAACTGCAGTGGTGCTTGGTGTTCTATATAGTCTCACAAAGTCATTCTCTCCACTTCCTGATGACATTTATCGATATGGTAATGAACATGATTGCTCAATCAAGTTTACAAGATCAATTTATTATAAATAGATGGTTCATTAGGCCTTTTTTGGTCCATGAAATTGTTACATAACTTTATTTCATTTAATTTCCTATCTAACATTTGAGAGAAAAAACAAAATCTAAAATCATATGGATAACCAATTTGTGTTTTAGATTTGAAGGAACCTTTCAATTTTCAAAAAGGCTGGTTGTTGTGGGCCGGAATTGGTCTAGGTGGAGCTCTAGGTGCTATTGCCCTAACAGGTGTTGTGATGTCTTTTGTCAATGGTGAGGCTCCACAACGAGAGGTTAGGATTTAATATCTATTTTTGCCTATTCTTTTTGTGCCTTTTGATTAACGTAAGGAGTATGAACCATGTATTTTTTCTATAAAGACTCGAGTTTCTATCTTAAAATGTCAACCTTATTAAGTAGAGTAGTTAAGCTCTTATATATTATATATTTATTTCATACTTATTCGATGTGAAATAGGCAAGATGGTGGTTCAATGTGAACCCCAATCTTGAAATCCATGTGCTCGTTGGAATCTTAGTTGGATCGAGTTGCTTGTTTAAGATTAATGGGCACAAATATCATATTTTCTAGGGGTTCCATCTTTAAAAGGTCAACTTTATTAAAAGGAATAGTCCAAGATCTTATATTTTCCTTTCACGTGGAAAAGTTAATTATAAGTGCTTTGACGGAGTTTCTTTATGTTCAACTATGGATAAAAGCTTAAAATTATAACATAATTCATTTTCTCCAGCTGAATTCATTTCAAGCGAGTGTCACGAGCAAGTGTACGTTAACATCTTATACAAACTAAACTTATTTTTTATCCTTATGATTTTTTTATGTTGTTTTCTATCTTCTCAAGAAAAAGAAATGACATTGATGATATCCAGTTTCACTGATGATTATAGATATGCAGTATGCACAGCATTTTAGTTGTCCTAATATATAGTGTTAATAATCTCCTTAAATTCTATTCAGACTGATGCTCTTGTCCGCCTCCTTCCATTGATTGGATCTTCGAGTATCAGGTAACTTCTGACAAAAGGCTTCAATTTTCACGTGTATTTACGAAACCATTATATAATTTTGGATAAAAAAGAAACTGATTCTTTACACTTTAAATGTAGCACTGCCTGCTTGGTAGGTATCACAGGTGTCCTAGCACCTATTCTTGAGGAGACTGTGTTCAGAGGTTTTTTTTTGGTGTCTCTAACCAAGTGGTATGATTTCTCATTTCAAAGTTGTTTTCTTTTTACGGCTCATGCAATTATAAATCTGTCATAAGTTTATTGTTAAAAGAATTGAAAAAGTGTAAAGCATATAGTGGTGTATAGTTAAATCAAAATTTAGTCATCGTAATCAGTTATAGATAATAGAAGTTAGATGCATGATACTGAGAATCAAAAGCTTAAGCATCCAGGACTAGAAAAATGATGTCTACAGTCTGGTTTATGATTCCACCTTTCTCTTACTTTTGAAAGGAAGAAAAATGTAAGTTACATGCTCTACAACTCGTTCTGAAGTTTGATGACTGAACGACGAGGCTAAAATGGCAACTTTGTTTTAATGACTAAATTTCCTTTTTGCCTACTTGCTAAGTCAAAATTGAACGAAAAGTGAAGTGGCTAAATAATGGGATGTGTAATGTATATTCATCTGACTTAGAAAATATAAATGAGCTTATTCTTTTCGAATGTTAAATGGTTCGTGGAGGAAAATTTTATGATTTGGAATTTGTAGTTGTTTTATCCTTCAATGGAAGTGTACGCAAATGCTTCTCTCGAAGACTGATTGGTTCTAATTTTCTGCAGGTTGCCAACGCCACTTGCTGTGCTTATCAGTGCTGCTGTTTTTGCAGTTGCACATCTCACTCCTGGAGAATTTCCTCAGCTGTTTGTTCTTGGTATGATTAATGCCCACAAGTTTATTCAGAAGGATAAACGAACTAAAAGCGGCTAAAAATAAATGGAATTTCATAAATCATGGAGAGAAATTTTTTGTTTCTTAATTTGGCAGAGGTTTCAATAACAAAATCTTAATTTGGCATCTCATTCATTTTTTATTTGAGGTGGCAAATGTGATCTGGTCCAGAAGGCAAGCTCCAAATAAAAGTCCCTCCTCTTTTTGACATTATTATTTTAGAGTGATGAATATACTGAATTATATCTGTCACGCTCATAGTCGATGTTTTGATTGCTTGGGCTGTTTTCAAGAAATCAAGTTAGTATAAAATTTTCCCTTTAAAGTCAAATAGAAGTGTTATTGCACTGCAAATAACTACTTTTGTGGTTTGATAAAGAAAAAGGGGATTTATTTTAAATCTGAATTCCTTGAATATTATGCTTTTTTCAGGCACTGCTTTGGGATTTTCATATACTCAAACCCGCAACCTTCTCACCCCAATCACGATTCATGCCTTTTGGAACTCGGGAGTTATCTTGCTTCTCACCTTCCTTCAGGTAATTATTTGTCCACAAGTTTTAAGTTTTCCACAGTGCTCTAAATACCAAGCTCATTATTTTACAACTCTGCTCCATCATATCAAAACAGAGAATTATACATTTTATTATAACCTAATACCGAAAAAATTATATGCATATAGTCTTTTTTTTGTGAATTATTAGGCATTCCTCTACTTGTGTCACTATTGAATATCACAATGCACAAACTCGGAGCCATTAAAGAGGGAAAAAGTGAGCATGTTTTTTTTCCTATTTGACGGTTGTGAATTGTTTCAGTGTTGCTTTATCTTATTTATTTTGTTCATTTTAATATTTAGTTGTTGAATAAGTGCGCTAAGAATGTTCGTCCTGGCTGTTTGTGTGTAGCTCCAAGGATATGATATCAAGGAATTGTTACAAGCATCTTGATCGAGACGGGTCTCTCTCTTAGTAGGTAGCATGCATGGCTCTGCTTGTCGATCTTTGTTAAGATTTATACACAATTTCATACCATTTCCCTGATGAATTTAGAGAAAGACCATTTCACAGTTTGTTGTGAACGTACTGCGTAAATTTATTGCCATGATTATACTCCTAAATTTTTGAGATAATGAAAAATGTTCAATTTTTATTTGATACAACGGCATCTTTCTTTTTAACTAGCTGGGGTTGGTTCTTTTCTCGAATGTGACATCTTGTTAACTAACTGCGGTTGACCATTTGCACTAATAGAGTAATTGAGGTGATATTCATTTGTAAACGAATCTATTGACTTTAACCAGTGTACATTGGACCCTGTATCAATGTGAGCCAAACTGAGTGCGCCCCTTGGGTCAATTGAACATCAACCAGCCACCACTAAAGTTTCCACATAGCAAATTGGACAGTAGCACATTACCTCAAAAACTCGCTGAGAATTACATTGAAGCAAATCCAAAATGAATTCCCAAATCATCAAAAATCGCTGGAAACAAAAGCTCCCAACATATGGTAGAACAATGCAGATGAATGTCACATTTCCAAGAATACCATGAAAATACAGATATCTAGTTTGAAAACCTCAAAGTACATTTCAGTGATTCCTCAACTAGTTGTATCAAAAAGGACCAAAACTATATCAGACCTCAGCTCTTGGTAGCCAGCTTTTCCTTGGTCTTTTGTATCTTCAAAACCTTCTTCACAATCTTTTGCTCTTCAACCAAGAAAGCTCTAATAATTCTACAAAACCGAGCAGAAAGAATGTCAAAGATCAAGAAAGATTTGAGTAAACGGCCAGTCTCTGTGTGCACAGAGAAACCTACCTTTCCCTTACAGCACTGCCGGACAACACTCCACCATATGCACGGTTCACAGTCCTCCGATTTCTGGACAATCTAGACCTCTTGTACTCAGCAGGTCTCAAGTGAGGTATCTGCAAGTATAAAGCAGAAAAAAAACTTAAAATTGTTTTCTTACATGGCAGTAACCTAGTCATTCAAACACTTAACTTTTAAAATTAGTATGTAGTACTGGCACTGCACACAATTAATTAGAAATGAGAGAACATTTGAGTTCTTAGTAGTTATAACCTCAAAGACAAGCAAGTAAAATATCATGACAGCATGAAAGTTAAAAAGCCATTTAAGAGTCCTTTAATGTTGGCACTAGCCTTTTGTATATTATACATAAATCCTGCAACATCATATATACTTTGTATTCTAGTTTGTTTAAACCCATAAAACAACATTTCCAATCAGTATCACCTCAGGACATTCTATAAAAAAGCCAAGGTCTTATAAAGAAGTGACTACCCAACTGATTACCAGAAATACTAAACCAACAAAATTATTGGTAATTTTGGCCGTAAAACCGTGCGCATTTGCGTAGAAGTCATTATTTACTGATGGCAAAAATCCAATGCACTATCTTTAGATAGGGATGTTGTAACATACAGACATGAAAACAGTTCAGGTACTCGAATTCGAATTTTCAAACGAGCGGAGTGGAACTGATTTATTCTGCGCACCACTAGCAAATAAACCAAACATTCTCTATAAAAGCGTAACTGAACTTAATCCTTTACGGGCTCAATCAATCTACAATTTCCACAATACCTAAATTGACATTAGATTTCCATACAAATTAAAAATGCTATTTTTAGGTGGACAATAGTAAACTCTACTCAAGAGGCTATTGATTAGGTCGACAAAATAAAACTATCAATTTTTCTGCAAGAAATATTTTTTGAGCACTAAATAAATGCATTAGATTAACAAATTAATCATGAAACACGTTCATATCAATTTTCATTGATCACATTGATGGGTAAAAAGAAAATAAAAAGGCATACCCCTTGGATTCTCTTGCCAGTAACAGGGCATTTAGGGCCACTAGCTCTCTTCTTAGTACTCTGGTACACTAACTTCCCTCCTAATTGAACACACGATCACACAATTAAAAAATAAAAAAATAATAAAGAAACAGATTTATTAAAAAATAAAACGAAACCAAAAATAAATATTTCACAAATTCAATATACAAAAGGGATTTTACCAGGGGTTTTGATGATCCGATGCTGGTTGGATTTGGTGGCATAGCTATGCCGTTTCCTGTACGTCAGCCGTTGAACCATTTTCCGCTATTTCGGGTTACCGGGTTCTGGATATGGCTCTGATTTGGGGGCAGTACAGCATAAGGTTTTGAAGAGATTAGACGAGGATTATATGTTTGTCGCCCTAGATCGTGCGGTTAAAGTTCTACTTGATAATATATACGGCTGTGATTCATCTAAGTTCATAATTTCTTTGGTTTTGTTTAAAAAAAATTTAGAGGAAATTACACCTAACCCTAAATTTAAAGTACCAATTTCATAAATCCTGAATCAAGTTTCATATTACAAAAATCAGGTTTTAATTAATAATTTAAAAATATTTTTTATATCTAATTAATAATTTTTATTCCAATTAATAATTTCATCCTAAAATCAAAACCTAATTTCATTTCTTTTCCCGCCGTCGCCATCTCCTCTCATCAATTTTGTGATGCTGAAACGTCCAACCGTCTCTACCACACCGTTATTTTCTCTCTCTCTCTCTCTCTCTCTCTCTCTCTCACTTTCACTCTTTGATCCGGTGAAATAGCAGGCGCAGTAGCGCTCGTGAAGGCACCCTTATGTCCTCTTGTAGAGGCCGGTTGGGTGTGTGTAAGTGCGTGTGGAGGCAGATTTGGTGGGGTGTGTGTGGGTGCATCGCGACTGGTGTGTGTGGACGCGAACGGGTGCATTGTGCGTGCGTGCAGCAGTTGAGTGTGGTCTTGGTTTGTATGAGATGTTGACGCCGCTATGGGAGGCGGTGGTGGTGGTGCTACTGGTAGAAGCAGTGGGGATGTGGTAGTGCGATGTGGGCGAGGGAAGGGGGTTAATCTGAGTGTGTGGTGCGGTGCGTGATGTGCAGTTGTAGATCTGTGCGGTGTGGTGGTGGTGGTCAGTGGTCACAAGTGATTTGGTTGATTGTAACCAATAATTGGGTCGGTGTATGACAAATGAAATAGATAAACTGCGACCAATGTATGCTGTGTGATCTAAAAATTATTAATGTTGACTGTTTGGTATAGTGGTGGTGGTAAAAACGTTGGCTGCGATGTTTGAAATTGTGATTTTGTTGTTGGGGGAAGTGGTGGTGATGGTGATGGGTGTTGGCGGCGACTGTGCGTTTATGTGGTGTTGGTGTTGGCGGCGGTGGTGTGATTCTGTGGTGTTGTGTTGGTGGTAGTCACAAATGATTTGTTGATTGTGACCAATGAATTGATTGGTGTGTAACCAATGAAGAATAAATTGTGACCAATAAATACTGTGTGACCTACAAATTT